AATAGATACGTGAATATATACCTGCATCGATACGTGAATAGGCAGATACGTGAATAGATGCATGAATAGATAGATACGTGAATAGATAGTGAATTATATAGATACGTGAATAGATAGATACGTGAATGGATACGTGAATATATAGATAAGTGAATAGCTACGTGAATAGATAGACACGTGAATATATAGATACGTGAATAGATACATGAATAGATAGATACGTGAATAGATAGTGAATAGATAGACACGTGCATATATAGATACGTGAATAGATAGATACGTGAATGGATACGTGAATATATAGATACGTGAATAGATACGTGAATAGATACATACGTGAATATATAGATACGTGAATAGATACGTGAATATATAGATACGTGAATAGATAGACACTTGACAAATTGGTGTTTAGGACGTTTCCCGTGTCGAACTTTCACGCCCCCAAACCAACCAAGAGCTTTAGAATCAGATGTATTCACACTGCAGGAGGAATCCGATGAGCTACGAATCTCTTTCTATCACAGATGTCCAGTTGGGCCACGGCTTCAGAATCAGATGTATTCACACTGCAGGAGGAATCCGATGAGCTACGAATCTCTTTCTATCACAGATGTCCAGTTGGGCCACGGGGTAAGAACGTTAAAACGACAAACAGTGCAAAAAAAAACCACGACAGGAGTGCGCAAAGTACAAGTAAAAAAAACCGCACAAACATAACTAAACCATCCCCATCCTATGTATGATTGAAACGTCATATCATTTTGAGAGATTTAGTTGAGTCGAAGGGACTGGGCAGAAGACCACGTTGCCGAAACGCAGCCACTGTCGATGTAGATGCAGCTCTCAAGAACTTGCAAATGTCACATTCAGGTGGTCAGGCCAGCAGGCAACGGCAGTGGGAGGGAGCGGAGTGAGTTTATCGTCGAACGTAAACGGTCCCCAACCTCTTTGGCACCACGGACCGGTTTCGTGGAAGACAATTTTTTCACGGACCGGGTCGGGGGGGTGGGAGTTCATCATTGGGTCTTTCAACATTTTTCAAAGAATCTCTCCAGCGACGTTTGTTTTTTAAAACTAATTTTGGCCAGGGTTTAGCTTGTGGGGTTAGCTTGTGGGGTTAGCTTGTGGGGTTAGCTTGTGGGGTTAGCTTGTGGGGTTAGCTTGTGGGGTTAGCTTGTGGGGTTAGTTTGTGGGGTTAGCTTGTGGGGTTAGCTTGTGGGGTTAGCTTGTGGGGTTAGCTTGTGGGGTTAGCTTGTGGGGTTAGCTTGTGGGGTTAGCTTGTGGGGTTAGCCTGTGGGGTTAGCCTGTGGGGTTAGCTTGTGGGGTTAGCTTGTGGGGTTAGCTTGTGGGGTTAGCTTGTGGGGTTAGCTTGTGGGGTTAGCTTGTGGGGTTAGCTTGTGGGGTTAGCTTGTGGGGTTAGCTTGTGGGGTTAGCTTGTGGGGTTAGCTTCTGGGGTTAGCTTGTGGGGTTAGCTTGTGGGGTTAGCTTGTGGGGTTAGCTTGTGGGGTTAGCTTGTGGGGTTAGCTTGTGGGGTTAGCTTGTGGGGTTAGCTTGTGGGGTTAGCTTGTGGGGTTAGCTTGTGGGGTTAGCTTGTGGGGTTAGCTTGTGGGGTTAGCTTGTGGGGTTAGCTTGTGGGGTTAGCTTGTGGGGTTAGCTTGTGGGGTTAGCTTGTGGGGTTAGCTTGTGGGGTTAGCTTGTGGGGTTAGCTTGTGGGCTTACCAACACCGTGACTGAGACAAATGCGCAGCGGCGGAAGTGATCAATAAAATAAGTAATATTTAGAAATACTTTTTTTTTTAAACACGCTTTAATGAAATGTGCCGTACGAGTAATGGCAGAACTCCACCACGACTCCAGGAAGTGGCCCCGAGGCTTGCCACAACGTAAAGGGGCCGTGGTGATGTACAGCCAACGTGAGTTGAGCGTGGACAATTAGACCCAAGCCGAAATATCTCCATATATGTTAAAGGCAAAGTTGTGATTCTGTGTGTCTGTTCAAAATGTTTAGCGTACTTCCCGACATGCAACAAACTTGAAATTTGCCATGTGGGTACTTTCCAGACTGTACACCATGCAAAAATTATAAAAAATACACTTTTGTATATATATTTTTTTTTTGGGGGGGGGGGGGGGGAGCTCAATAATGCATTTATTTATTTTGCATGGCAAGTGAGCTGTGACGTCAAATCTGTCACGTGACCCGCGCATGTGGAAGCGTAACGCATTGTAGTGTAGTGGTTAGCGCGCCGTGTACGAACCCGGTGATCCGAGTTCGATTCCCGCTCACGGCCACCACTGGTGACGATTATTTGAACCGGTCCTGGGCCTCCCCTAGGTCGACTCAGCCTCAAACGAGTAACTGCTGTGGTTGTGTGAACATCGCTACTGGGGGGACAAAAGGCGGCCGCCCGTGGTGAATCCAAGTCCCGGGCGAAGCCGGGAAAGTACAGCTAGTAACAATTAAAAAAATATTGTTTAAAATTGTTATTTTTTAATGATAGAATATAGTATTGTAATCAGTATAACATAAGTATACCAAGTTTGCAGTCGATGCCACATTGGGAAGTGGGTAACAATCGAGTTACAAGATGTGAGGATACAACAGACAGTGTTGTTAAATAAAAGCGTGTAATGTAGTAATAATAATAATGAGGGCGGGCCACGTGCGGACTCGCCGCTCTCACCTCCTGCTGTGCGGCCCGGTTCCTAACAGGCCACGGACCGGTACCGGCCCGCGGCTGACTTCTCGGATTCTTACACTTGACCCTCTCTGTCTCGTGGGCTCGGCCGATGTTCGATGCAGTTACAATCACAAACACACACACACAAACGTCGCCTTCCGTGTCCAATCGAATGCTGCCTGGCCCTCGGGCTGTGAGATTTGCTGTCGAACTTTTCAACCGGCGAGGAGTTTAGCTGCCAGCAACAGTACCCGCGGTCAATCGGAGGAGCATCGTTACACGCGTCCGTGCGTGCCGTACGCCGCGTTCCACTTTCATTCGTATGGCCGTGTCGGGTGGTGGATGGTCTCTTAAAATGACACGCGTGTCGGTCATTACTTAGTGGGCGAACCCAGAAATCTTGATCGAAGTGAGGGAGAGCTGCATGTTTTGGACAATACAACAGTGCATTCGAGCGATACACAACACATTTAAGTTATTCATAATAAAGGTTTTTGGGTTAGATCGCGTTTATTTATAAATGTGTCGTAACCCTCCACCACCCGACACGGCCAATCAGCAAAAAAAAGTGTCACGTTGACTAAAGACAAATAATTCACTACTTTAGCCCACCGGTGTGTTGAAGAGTGAATCCACAACATTTACAGTTTGAGTACGACGTTTCGCTGGTAAATACATCCAGCATCATCGGGCAATTCGCCAGAATGGTAAAGCCCTCGCTTGCTCCCGGTTTTATATAGAGCAGCAGGGTTTCGTCCAAATCGCCCGAATGCGCCTAAACTCTTCTTCACGCCTTCAAAGCTAAGCGGCGTTGAGCCCGAACAGCGCTTGGATGGGCGACCGCCATGCATGCCGGCTTGTTATCGGCTGCCACTTTGCGGGGTAGTGGAGGCTCTGCCACGTTGCGCACGACGGGCAGGAGGACGCGAACATTCAGCAAACTCCACCCCGGTGTGGTACCCCCCACGTGTTCTCGAAGGCACCACCACCCCCCACCCCCCACCACCACCACCACCCGTTCACAGAGGGCCGCATCATCTCCCAAGCCATTGTGGTCGTGTGAAATGAAGGTTCGCGTGACGTTGACAATCGCGGCCGACGAGACACTGATCCCTGCACCTGTGGCGGCACAGGGTAGTTTTTATTTTTTGTAATCTTACCAGGTAAGGCCCCACTGAGCTACGTATCGGCTTCTTTTCCAGAAGCGACCACCTTGGCCAGAAATAATAGCTCAACGAAGTGGCTTGTCACGTGGACATTTACAGCAAACACACGTACAGCATAACACGTAGGCTTTAGCGACCAATATTATCCATAATAGAGGTTAGATCGCGTAAATATAAAATGTGTCGTTAAACCCGTCACCACCCGACACAGCCAATTAGTAACGGTTTGTCACGTAAATAAAAAAAAACTATGCCAATTCGTGTTGGAGAGTAAACCCACAACATTTACATTTCGAGTACGACGTTTCGCCAGTAATTACAACCGGCATCATCAGGCGAAACAGGAGGATTTCTCCACAAATCTGGCGGTAGCCTGATGATGTTAGTTGTACTTACTGGCGAAACGTAGTACTCGAATGGTAAATGTTGTGGGTTTACTCTCCAACACACCGGTGTGCTGAGCGAGTAACAAATTGGCACGTTTTGTTTACGTGACAACCCTTGCTAATTGGCTGTGTCGGGTGGTGGCGGGTTTAACAACATATGTATATATTTACGCGATCTAAACCCCCGACCAAAAACACTATTATGGATGATATTGGTCGCGAAAGCCTATTCGTTTAACTATCCATGATAGAGGTTTTTGGGGGGTTATTTCGCGTAAATATGCGATCTAAACCCCCCCCCCCCCCCGAAAAAAACCTCTATTATGGATGATATTGGTCGCGAAAGTCTACGTGTTAAACTTGTTCGACTACGTAGCTCTTTATCAGAAGCGATTTTGGGCCACAAACCCATGACTCAACCAAGTGGCTGATCGTCGTGGACGTTTCATATCGACCACAAATTCACTGCTCTAAACGCGTCTCGTTGATTTTAAAACGTAGAGGGAAACGAACCCCTACCCCCCGTCCCTCCAAATCACTCGGATAAAAATCCACTCGACCCACGGGGAGAGAGACACACACACACATCGCCAACTACCGAATATAAACAGCAGGCGCCAGCGTCGCTATCGAACCCACGTTGAACACCCCCCCCCGAGCCATCTCCCGCAGCCACGAAATTGAGAGCGAGCGGGTGGCGTTAACCAAACAATGTTTACTTTTTTTTTACGAAGAACATTGTGAGGGAGCCTACGGGCATGAGTCAGTTGCTAAGTTGTCACGTCCAATCAGAGGGCGGCGGGAGGAGCAGCCCGAGGCTTAAAGGGGCCCTCAGGCACACCCGGACCTCCGTGCTCATCCTTCATCCCAGCCACACAGCCCCCCCCCCCTACGCCTTTCTCCGACCTCACGAGGAACCCAGGTATGGGTTCGACTTGAGAGCCGGGATGGGGCGCGGAGTGGGGGTTTGTCGCGCGGTTTTACGGGGATCAGGGTGCGCGATGGGTTCGGGTGGGAGATTTTGCTGCCGTAAGTGAGGATGTTAAAAAGTTTAAATGCCTGTCGGAGGTGCTGCGCGCGTGCGTGATGGTGTGTTAAGGCGTTAATGGGGGGAGCGGTGGTGTAGCGGTTAGCGCTACGCTGCGCTATGAACCTGGCGACCCGGGTTCGTTTCCCGCTCACGGCCAACACCGGTGACGATTATCTGAACCGGTCCTGGGCCTCTCCTATATCTACTCAGCCTGAAATGAGTACCTGGTGCTCTTTTTCAAAGGCGGTCGGGCGTGGTTGCTGGCCACCCACCCTCTCGTGTACCGTTCCGGCCTTCATAGGTGCTCGCTAACAGCACCTGCCCCTACAGTATATTAAGGCTATACGGGGGATCTTTGTCTTCGTTAACGCGTTCATGGGGGGAGCGGTGGCGCAGTGGTTAAGCGGCAGCCGGCGAGCCGAGTTCGATTGCCGATCGCGGCCAGCAACGGGTGGCGAATTCTCGAACCGGTCCTGGGAATCCCCTCTGCGGACTCGTGCCTGGTGCGGTGTGAAATTGAATGCAGTGCTGAGGAGACAAAGGTGGCCTGGCGTGGTTCTAACCACACCAGCCAATTGTGCGCCATCCTGTTCGTCACAGGTGCTCGCGAGTAGCGCTTTAACCCAACAGCTTTAACCCAACAGCTTTAACCCACCCAGCAGGCTACATGGGGGACCATTGTCTTTGCGAATGTGTGAATGTGAGAATCGCAGTGTTTACGGTGGTTAATCTGGATTGAAAAGTAACTAATTTCTTTAGAACATATTTTTTGTGCTTAGTTCGTTGTGCTTACACCCAGCACCTCTGATTAGCGCGGTCGGCTGCGGAGGGTGGGAAAGAAGTTCAACAAAGCCAAAAAACCCCCGTATAGCTTTAACAGACTGTTAGGGCAAGTGCTGTTAGCGAGCACCTATGAAGGCCAGAACGGCACACGAGGGGTTGGGTGGCCAGCACCACGCACAGCCGCCTTTGTCTCCCTAGTGGCGATGTTTTTACACTCCACACCAGATACTCATTTGAGGCTGAGTCGACCTAGGGGAGGCCCAGGACCGGTTCAGATAATGGCCGTGAGCGGGAATCGAACTCGGCTCACCAAGTTCAGTAGCGCAGCGCGCTAACCGCTAAACCACCGCTCCCCACAAGTTCAACAGAGACAAAGATCCCCCGTATAGCCTTAACACACACGCACGCGCGTAAGGGGGTTTAGGGCAATTTGAAGACATGGGGGTCGACGGGAGAGGAGGCAGTGTCACTCACGTCCATGCTGCCGGGCTCTCAGCACGTGTTCGTTTTGGCAATTCGGGGGGGGGGGGGGGGGTGGTCGTGGTTAAATCTTTCCTGGGCAGTGAGCGCCAAAGACCCCGAAGCCGCCCGTCTGTGAAGGCCGAGCCGCGTTCGTCATTCGTCTTGGACCTTTTTCTCATTCATCGTCGCCCGGGGGCTGACTTCGCGTGCGCTGACCGTCTGCCCTCCGGTGTGTTTTCGATTTTCAATTTACTTCTCGGAGTAAGAAGCTCGCCCCCCACCACCGTTATGGAAGGGCATAACAACGCTTTGCAGTGTAAATTAAACGAAGGTCGTAGCCCAAACCCCCCCCCCCCCACCTATACAATCAAGACGCACGTGTATAAAAAAAAAATATCAAAATGAGGGGGGGGCATGCTCAAGTTGTGCCGCGTACTGTTCGGCGCGATGTTCGACGTTTCGCTCCACTGCCACCGATTATCACCTCCGGTTAGCGCGGCTGGCTACGTTCCACATCCGTCTGCTGATGGCAAAGCCCCACAGCAGGCGATATCGTGCAATGCTAGTCGCGCGTCCAAGCGCTCTCCACGCTCGATCCTGCTTAGCGTACGGGGCAGTTTCGTGGGAGCATCGATGGGTTCGGGGTGCATTCTGGGTGACGCTGTCGTTGAGCCCGTGACGGGGAACGTGGAATTTCCACCGCGGAATCGAGATTTGCCAGCGGTGTGAGTTAGGCAGCGAGCATTGGCGAACGGACTGATGAGTCCTGATGAGTCCTGATGAGGTCGAAACCGCCCCCCCCCCCCCCCCCCACCACTGTCTCCTCGTTTCGCCCGTCGTCTTTGTTGGCGTAGCCCAAGGCCATAGCCATGGAGTCAACATTGGGAGGGACCAAATATTCCAGGGCGTCTGGGGGTCCCTTCCCCCCACAGAAAAAAATATCTAAATGTGTAAACTAATTTCCTGCCTAAAAATAATTTTTAAAAATTCACTAACACATGGGATGGAATTTTTTTGTTTTACAATAATGTCTAATAGTGTGTTGTATTACATTGCTCTGTTTTTTTATGTTTTACCTTTTCCTGTTTCATTGTATGTAATGGCAGAGATTAGGGATTAATAAAGTAACAACCATAACCACAATCATATGAACAGACATCTATGTTATAGCAATATATTGGCGGGGACATTTTGAGCATATTTGAATATTGGTGGAGGGGGAGGGGATGTGTCCTCCCCCCAATATATATTATAATTACGGCCTTGGCGTAGCCATACGTTTTGAGTCGGCGAGGTTCTAACACGGCAATGTGGCCGACACTTTGGGTGATTTTGCACCGGTGGTCCGGAGAAGGCTGAGTGAGATCTTTCGAACTTGCAGCGCTGCCGCTCCCCGGGTGGTGTTGTTGCGAACACTGAATAGGTCTGGCGATCCTGGTCTACTCGTCATGCCAAAGACAAGGCCGTGGTGGTCGTGGTGTTGTTGTTCTATGGGAGACGGAACCATCTGTAGCCAAGCTTCGCGATTGTGGAATTCCATTCCTCCGTCCGTTCGGGGTTTTGAGTCCGTTTCACCTACGTGTAAGGCTATCCCCGTAACTTAAGATATAAAAAAACGTCTGATTATATTTTTTCCGTTTTATTATGCTTCTTCATTTCATTGCAATTTCGAGTGGAGTCATTGATATTGCTATTATCAGTTTTCTATTTCGCTTAGATTACATCTATACGTGTGAGTGCAGTTTTATTTTGATGTACAGCTCTTTGAGCTACTTGACATATATATAAAACGCGCTTCATAAAATAGAGATTAGTATGATTATGATTGTTAAATCCGGAGAAAATACAGGAGCCCGCGGCCGTGTTTGTAAACAGTACCAAGGGGTAGCTGTCGTCCCCACAATGCACCTGGGAGAACCCCACCCAGCCTGGTGCAGTGTCGGGTGACAGCACTCGACGGACACGCGACACCCACGCAGAGCAGCCAGAGAGATCACGGCATGCATGCGTCGTGACAGACGTGACAGGCGATGGTCGATTGGAACAAACACACAAACGAAAAAAAAGCTCCTTCATATATTTGGAAAGGGTGTAGTGGGCAGATGATTAGGGGGAACATTTGCAGATTAATGACATAAGTGAAAACTGTTCAGAGAAGCGAAGCGCTGCAGTCTAAATACAGATTCTGATTCTGCAGTGGGGTTGGGCAGGACACGTCGTGAACTGGAAGGGATGGATGATCGCTGATGGATAAGAATAGCAACGGAGTTGGCAGCCGTGAGATGGCAAGTGTCAAACAAGTGTGCAAAGAAGCATTCATGAAAAAGGCGTGCACTAGAGATCGCACTGAATGACAGAAAGAGGAACATGCGGGTTTAGAGAACATGCGCAAGTTAATGACAACTTTAAAAGGCTGTTCGGTGATGGAAGTGGATTTGGCCAGGACACGTCATGGCTAAAAGGGGCGGACGATGGCCAGGAATAGTGTTGGAGTGGCAGCCAAGGAATGGAACGCGGACAGAGAGCAGGTTCGACCGGGGGAGATGGAGCGATGACATCAGCTCGAGTGCATGTGCTGTGTGGAGCAATACATCGCAGGGTCGCGAGAGATGGCTGCGACTTGGGAGGGAGGGAGGCCTTGGTCCAGCAGTGGATCGATGGTGGCCGATGAATGCAATGACGTCGAAGCCCTAGCAATGTGAGATGTGTGTGTATGTGTTAGGGTACGGTCTCTGTGTGGGGGGAGCGGTAGTGTAGCGGTTGGCGCACTGCGCTACGAACCTGGCGACCCGAGTTCCATTCCCACTAACGGCCAACACCGGTGACGATTATGTGAACCGGTCCTGGGCCTCCCCTAAGTCGACTCAGCCTCAAATGAGTACCCGGTGCGGTGTGTAAACATCGCCACTGGGGAGACAAAGGCGGCCGGGCGTGGTGCTGGCCACCCAACCCCCTCGTGTACCATTCCGGTCTCCATAGGTGCTCGCTAACAGCACTTTCCCCAACAGTCTGCTCAGGCTATACGCGGGATCTTCGTCTTTTGGCCTCTGTGTACGTTTGGAGCGCACCGCTCTCTGACCCCGGTGACCCGGGGTTACATTCCTGCCGAGGCACGCGAGTTGCTCGCGTGGTAATTGAGGCTGCCCTGGGCCTTGCCCGTGTCAACACCAAGGGTCGCCGCCTCCATTGTAACTTAAGCAAAGTGTGAACGTCGCGTGCGGTCCAAATGGACGCCACGTGATGGCACCATCGACGGAGACGTCGTGGGAGTGGCGTAATGGAGGTGACGACACGTGTAGTGACGTCACAATTTAAGACCAAATCCGAAACGCGTTTATGTTGGTTCATCTGAAATGTTGCTTCTTGGAGACGATTTTTGGCTCTTATTTTATATTAATTTCGAAAATCAGGAACGTCTCCCTGGTGTGGATCAGTGTGTAGCTGTGGAGGTGTGCGTCAGTGTGTAGGAGTATGTGGCTGCGTATGGGTTAGCGCGCTGCGCTATGAACCTGGCGACACGGGTTCGATTCCTGCTCACGGCCAACACCAGTGACGATTATCTGAACCGGTCCCGGGCCTCCCCTAGGTCGACTCAGCCTCAAATGAGTACCTGGTGCGGTGTGTAAACATTGCCACTAGGGAGACAA